TAACCAACCCCAGATGAGGATGCACATCACGTGATCAACGTTTCCTGCTCTCTTCAAAATTCAAGATGCGCAGGAAATTTCAAAGTTTTTACTGGGTAGAATTTAAAAGGGGCAATTCCTGCGCCTTCCTAGATTGGTGGCGTCATTTCATCATTTCCTTCGGCCCCATCCTGGTTTCATTCAAGATGCAGACCGATCACTATTTGGTAGTCTTTTCGTGTAGTGAGGCCTTTCCTGATCTCAGGGGTGAGTTTTAACCCTAATGATGAAAAAACCCTACCTTATAGTATTATTCTGGTGGCTATGAATATTGGTGTATTGCCGCAGATTTGTGGGCCTCGACGGATACCCCGTCGGCTACTTTGGGCAACACCTCGTGGAGTCGTCGTCCATTTCCTGATACCTCGATTGATTCTACGCCGGCTATTCCGAATGAGACTTTTGCGAATTTTGCTGTTGGGACCTGGGATTTCGACCTCGTCGTCTGGCTGCTGCTACCTGACTTTCTGTCAGTTCTGGAGCTGCACATGCTGAGACACCCAAGCTGGACCTGTGAGTCTTCAAGGACATCTTCTGAGGAGTCTCGAATCCATCCTGGTTGCATGGCCAAGTCACCTGCTCTTGGCCTACCTCAGCAGTCTTCTCTGCAGTCATCTATGCAGTCCTCGCTGCAGCACCAGGTGAATCATCAAGGTCTGCTAGTTGCAGAATTTCTTCCTCGTGGCTGAGGTGCCACTTTCTGCTATCTGTTTCTGCCCTGGTTCTGAGGCCATAGTATTTTCACGCATGGATTGAGTGAGAGCTTCAATTGAAGATTTCTTTCCTGTTTTTTATGAAATTACCATTTATCAGCACCAGATAATAGTCACATAATTTTTACCAATTTTCTTACCACTTCCTTACCAGTTCACATTTACTCGTTAATGGAATTTACCATGCATATGATTACACAAAATCTTCACCCCAATATCGATCAATAAAAGGGAATTCGCATAAAATTCATATATACGTGATTGTGAATCTGATTTCGAATATTTTTTTACTATTGGAAATACTGAGTGTCATTATTTCTCCATGTAAATGTTAACCTGGGTTTTACAAAACATCTCATTGAACCACCATTGAGCTCACACAGTGTTTGAATTATTTTCCATTTCAGGAAAGTAATTGAATTTGATATCAAATATATTTTCTTGGTTTTTTATTCTGATACAAACTAAGTGGCGCCTCTCTGGTACCTCAACAAATTCCGAATCCATGATCATCGCTCGCCAGACGAAAAGCTGCCTGGCCTTGCTAATCTAAATTCTTGACATTCATATTTTTCGTACCATCTTAGAAAAATTGTCTGAAGTAGGTTACGAGGTAGAATTTCCATTTCAGTAATCTCTCGTATTTTTAAATAAATCTCAACTGACTCCGCCGTAACAAGTCGGCCAGGTTCACGTTTCAATCGGTATAAATATGAATGCTAAATGTATCTCAATTGATATTGCTCACAAAAGAATTTGGTCTCTTGATTTTCATTACAACGGGGTCAGTTAAGATTTATATAAAACTGCTAACTTCAAAGTCCCGATAGCTATCATCCAAATGAAGATAGATGAATTTCTTTTTATTTTCTGAAAGTTGTTAAATGACATATTTTTTTTCAGAACATGAGAAATGAATTGTGACTTTATGCAAAGTATAATTCTCAAATAAATATCAACTGATCTGGCCGTAATGAAAATCAAGTCCGCTGGTTTATGCTCAAATCGGTTCTGAATGAATGCAAAATATATCAAATTACTCACTATTTTTTTTTCGGCTTACTTGATTATTATCACGGCGTGGTCAGTTTAGGTTCATTTGAAAATGTCAATCATATATCATATCATAGCTATCAACTCAATGAAGAAAGTAGGAAAGTTTCAGGATGAAAGATGTTCAAAAAAATATATGTTCTTTCAGAATATAAGGAAAAATTGTGACTCTGTGGAGAAAATAATTTTTTAGACGTTATTTCCGCCATTTTGAGAGAAGTTGAGATATGTTCAAATACGGAAGAATATACCTCACATACAGCTATTCAAATCCCCTCTGCCAGATTTCCATCTGCAGTTTTCCTTTCCTTGTTATGAGCCGGAAGGGCCGGAAGTTCGAATCACCCTGTTTAGTGTATCCCATTTCGGTTGAGACAGCCGGGTATCTCTGTTGTTGTGAAACAATAAACCTCGCGGTTTTTGTGATCCTGTGCTCTTTAAAAAAATTCAGATTTTGCCTAACTTATTTCCTTCATAATGTTACCGGGCGTTCTTGATGATACACACTTTTTGAACACCCTCTAAATTTCCTGCGATAATGTCAAATCTTCTTCCAAGATCTGAACACTTCACGATCCATGTCCATACCTCAGTCATATAAAAAATTTTAGAACAATGTTAGTTAATATTAAAAAAAATAGATGCATTTCAATTTTTCACGTCGAATTGACTTTTGTATTGATGAAGGGGCCGTCCTTTCGAAAATTCATTATAAAAAACGATCTGCCTTCATTTCCACTGTCAATTGAATTTCATTTCACGATGTGATTGAACTTGTACTGGGAATTATCGAATGAAACATTTTTCCCTTCGGAAATATAGGGAGTTCTTCCAAGAGTAACACAATGAAGATAATTTATCTGTCTTCTCGTTGAAAATAATTGAACACTGCATTGCCAACCTTATATTCTGAGAAGAATGTCAGGAGGTGAAGGTACTTTCATTCTTTCTACAATTTCATTTGGGTTTCTTTCACCACTGAAAGGAGAGTTATCCACTAAAATGCACTTTTGTCAAATTTATTTTAATTTGTTTCACTCATTTCTGAACAGCGAACAAAAATGTGTTCTTTATGTGAACTTTGAACCCTTTTCACGGACAAACGGTACATTTTGGTATATAAATGACACCCTGTATATAATCTAGAACTGAAGTTATGTGAGGGATTTCAGCACAATTGACAATGAAGAATCACTAGATTCGAAAACTCTTGAAGATTTGGTTTCCCGAAATGAAGTAGCGATATACAAATCCTACAAAGTCTTTATTTATATTATCCAACGGTGAGAATTAATATTTTCGATCGGAGAATCGAATTACACTCTGAGCCGAAGCTCAGACCATGCGACTATAGAAAAGTTTGAAAGTTTGATGTTCTCTTCCAATAGTTATATGTTCAGAAATGGGCATACAATGATTCCATTTCTGCCTTATAGAATCCCCGAGGATAGATTTAGCTATTATACATAAAAAACATCGTTACATTCACATGTCTGATATGTTTTGTCATATAATTTTTCAACGAAAAAAATGATATATACTTCTTTATATAGATACAATCAAATTATAATGTCAATTTCTTCCTGATCCAGATCAAACAAATTATCAATCACAAATACTACAATGTACGAACATTTTTAGCCCTCTAGATTTCTTCATGAAACAATTAGAATCAGATTTGAGTATAGCAAGGAATTTCTATCGATTCAACTTGGCAACAATGCGCTACCGCTTGTTCCGAATCTCCACGCGTTCCACACATTCTGGTATATTGACAGTCTGTTGATGTACGATTCTGAACTCATACTGGTCTGTCAATGGTTTTGCCATTTTACGGTCCTGCTATTTCACAGGTCTTAATCCGAGAAATTCTGAGAATTTACGGGTCTGGTAGCTGCACGATTCTGCCATTGTACGATTCTGCTGTTCAACGGGTCTGTAGTTTTACGGTTTTGATGAATTATGGATCAAAAATTTCGGTAGTCCGATGGATTATGAGTCTGTCGATGTGCGGATCTTGCGTTTTACGGATCTAGAGTATCAACAGTCTGTGCATTTACGAGTCATTGTACGGATGTCACTGAGAGGTGTCTATATATTTTTTCTCCTTAAATATTTTTTCAAAAAAAGTGTCACTGACAAGCTATTACATTTTTCTTCTAGGCTGCCTGATATCAAAATTTGTTGAACGCAGTGACATTATGGGGCAAATCATCTGATTTTTTTTACTTCACATATATTGAAATAACACTCATATGATAATTGTGATAGAAACGAGGAGAGGAAATCCCGAATAATCAAGTGAAATGAATGAACCACCTCCTCGATTAACCTACAGACAGTATTCGCGAAATCCACGTCTTTAGTCTGGAATATTTCAATGTTATTCTTGTGATTCATTGTCCAATTCTCAGGTTCAGCATTAGAAATATGTTGTTGTTGTCGGTTTTCAATGAATAGTTGATGGTTTATCAAAATACTCACTCCAATACATAGCTTCAAACCAGCAACAGCTATCACCTCATCATTTTCGAATCAAATTATCTCGAAAATAGTACACATTATCGAATTTCACCAAGAGTAATATTTTCGTGTCGAATTGAATGATATTTAAATCTACAATTGATTCGGATTGAAAGATCGAACCTCAACAAGGTTTTGTTTGAAACTACCCGGTACGAACCGTGTAACTAGCGCCCTTCATGAGAGTGAGATATAAAAACAAATTCATGCAATCTGTCAGCTTCCAAAACGCCTCCATTAAAAATTTCTTCATAATATTGTGAGTAGATACTTCATAATTGTTGGAAACGTGTACAAAGATATGATATTCAACAGCTTTCATCTTGAAAACGAATGTCGTTGAATTTTGCAGTTTTTCACTCAGCCTATACTGAGGAGGTCACTTTTCTTGAAAACACCCTATACAGGTAGGTAGATGCTAAATTCCACGTCAATAATTTCTCTACTTTTGGAGAGTTATATCGTTATAACAATAATCTATCAAGCTGAAAATGTACACATTAATAAAATTGAATAGTATATTCTATCAAAATTCACTCACAAGGGGCGAGGCTGTGATATCATTTAACAGCTGAACTGATATAGGTAGAAAATCAGTGGGTATGTATCTCCATACATAAACATCTCCGTACATGATTATTATCACGTAAAATACCAGGAATTATCACTCACCCAAAATGATATCCATCTTCGTTCTGTCTGTTACTAGATGCGAGTATTTTATCATTGCTTTCTTCAATTGCACAAACAACAGTTACTGACATCACAAGCAATGAAATCTCGAACTTCATCTCTGCTAAATGAACAGAAACTGGGTCTTAACAATAATTACTATACGTCCATTGAATTATAAATATACAATGTGCTGCACTACAATAATTATTGAGAGGATATCGTTATTTGTTGTGAAACTTCTGAATATTTCGTAAAGTATAATCTGCCTGACGAGGTTATATTCACCATCGGCAGGTAACCGCAATGGCTGAATAACTTGATTTGCCTCTATTAATATATTCATGGCTGACCCCTAGAGAAGGGGCGTAATACTCGTATGCAGTTGAATTCAGCCACACATATTTTCACTGCCAATTAGGAATATTCAATCTGATGAAATAATCGTCCAGTTATTCAAATTTTTGTTCATCCTAGTCGAAATGACTCTCAAACATGCTTATGAAGAAGAATTGATGATGAGAATTAGACATCATAACTTATTTCAATCCTTAATGAGCTGGATGTGACAGGGAGTTATGGAGGAAATAACAGTCGAATGTTGATGAATATTCGATACAATGACTCAATCTAATATCGATAAGATTCTTTCACTGGAAAATAGTATGTGTTCATTGATATCTATACGTATGTATCGAATCTGCTCCAGGAAATGTGTATCTATAATGATGAAGCAGTCAAATCAGCAAAAATAGAAAGAATAAATGGGGAAGAGCTATAAATTGGTAATGATCTTCATTTTTTTTTTGAAAGTGCCAAAAGTCTGGATCATTGACAGCAGAAATGAGTCTGCCATCTCGAATATAATGTATTTTATTTCGTTCTATCTTTCATATCTCTGTTCAGGTGGATCCTATTATTTATAGTGAACCATTGATCATACTTCAGCTAGTGATAAACGACTCCATAACCTATTGAAGATCCTTATTTTGATCTCAGTGAGGGTATCAAGATATTGAAACTTCAATTCGAAAAAAATTGATATACGATGTGCAAGTCGATGGAATTGATGTATCTTCCTGAGCCTGATGTACTCGTTATACTAGCTTCGAATTCATCCCATATTGTCACCGCGATCGTATCAGGTTGAAACTGTATGCATCATAAACCAAAATGCATAATTACAGTATGCATATGGTCGAAGTCGAAGTTTCCTGTTCTGCTTGTTATCTGTATCATCCCGCTGTGAGGTCATCACATATGGTTACTACAATCGTAATTTCTCGAAGTGTATGCATATATGATGGTAAAATGCAGAGTTATAGTGTGTACATTGACGAAGTCGAAGTTCATTGTTCTGCCTGCTGTGAGCGTTATACCTGCTTCTTGTTTAATATTGTCATTGCGAATTCAACTGATTCGTAAAGATCCATGTGAGATGATAGAATACAGAGATACATTGTGCACACCGATGAAGTTGATGTATCTTCCATATCATGTTGTACTTGTTATACTCGCTCCTCAGTCGTCTTATATGTTCACTGCCATCATATGTGGACACCTTATGTGTCAAAATATAAAGTATCGAATTGAAATCCATAGAATAATATTTCATCAAATTGGTTAATCGTCTAAATAGTATAGAATCGACACTGTACCCTGTAGATCCGTGAAATATCAAATTGTGAAACATCGGACCGTACTCCATCGAAATATAAAATTCCAAAACGTGAATCATCTAACAGTCATATGTCAAAATGACATTAAAAAGAATCATCATTCCATCATATCTGTATCTTATCAGAACTATATTCTATCGGGGCAATAAGTTATAATATCCGTATTCTGTTGCAACATCAGTCTCTGTACTAGTTCTACATCAAATTGGTTATCAATCAGAACTGTATTTCAACGAAATATCAATTCGTCATAACCGTATTCCAAAGAAACTGTAATTCGTCAAAACCGTATTTCATCGAACCAATAAACCAAACTCGTATTATATAAGAACGGTATCTCATCGGAATCCTATTTCATACAAATGATGATTCATTAGACCCGTATTTCATCAACATCAATCTATCGTAATAAACATTTAAAGAATTGGTGATTTAGCAGCACCGTATCTCATAGAAACCGTAATTCGTCTACACCGTATTCTATCGGACGGTTAATCGTCGGATTGTATCCCGTCAGGATGGGATTCAGATCAAACAGGGAACTGCACTGCACTGACACGCCCTATTTCAGGCAGAGACGCACAGATGTCGCAGCTCAACAGTAAAGTGCAATGATTTCACAGAAACAGCAAGTTCGTCTATAAACAATCGGAACTAAAGTTGTACACAGCAACCTCGGAATGTTCGAGAAAAAATTGATTGTAAAATACTGCAACATCATTTCATAATTATATTATGTTCAAGTTGTCCCATTTTCGATGTCCCTACGGAATACCTCACTCATTATTCAAGATAGAGATCTGTGGTTTCTGCAACTTTTCTGTGAAACTCACGATAACGCAAACAAAATATTCATCTCCTGCTTCGGGATACAGGGCGGAATTGTAAATGTTGCATTTTCGGACCCCTCCTGTATCTCAGCTATCTTTCAACTCACAGAAGACAGTTCCTCATGCATTTCTTCAAGTAGGATCCAGTAGCGTAGTCAGATTTTCAAAATAAGCTGCCATTTTTGATTTTTTTCTTTTGGGGCGCATGAAAGGAAATCCCTAAAATATCTGGAAAACATCGTGCAAACTCGAGAACGGTAGGGAAAGAAGGTGGAAATTGAAATTTGTTTAGATCTTTTGGAGATTACAAGTTCTCACGAATATTTCCATTGGCAAAAAACCCCAAACCTTTACCATCCTATATAGGCGAACGATTATTGATAAAGATTTGTTCGCTATATCTCAGGGTTGACGACGAAGGAATGTGCTGATTGGGATTGTCGAGCACGTCTGACTGGTATTGCTTGTGATGGAATAATTGCAGAGATTCCTGAAGATCATTTACCATAGAAGGACTTATATAGAAATGAAGGAGGTCGCCGACTTTTCTACGGTGTTCCATTGATGTCAAAAAAAGCGTGAGTGTGGCATCACCAACCAGGCGAATGGCTTTTTCCTGGATGGAATCTATAAGAGCATCAACGTATGTTTGGGTGCTGAACTCCATATGAGAGAACAGTAATCTAAAACTGGCTGTATCTGTCGTGCTTTGTAGACCTTGAGAAGCTGTTGAGGTGTAAAGTGGATTTTCAGACGCATCAAAAATCAGAGTTTCTGCGAAGCTGCTTTCGTGATAGATTGAACATGAGTATTGCTGATGAAAATACCTAGCATGAAAATAGTGGTTTTGGTGAAAATGGTGACACCAGACTTATATATATATACAGTGTGTCCACCTTAAGGACTTACCACCCCTGTAAAATCGTTATTATCCGACCAATTTCAAAAAACCTTATTTTGTTGGATAGGTATTTGAAATGCCCATTCAACGAGAGAGTGATCTAATTCTTGGACTGTTATCGTGGCCAACTGCGACAAATTTCAATGACCCATATTCCAGAAAGTACTATTAGGGATTTTTTTTCACGAAACTTGATGATGGATTCTGAATTAGTACCACTTGAAATATACCTGTACTGATTTTCATCATCATAAAACACAGGGTGTCCGAAAAAACGAATCATCATTTTCTTCAAATAGGTGATCAGCAAATGTAGTTCTGTGGTTTTCCTAGAAAGAAATAATCACAAATTATCATTGAGGATTATTTCAAATATACCTGTACCAATTTTCGTCATTTGAATATACAATGTGTCTGAGAAAAAAATTAAAAAGGATAGGTAAGCAATATTTTTCATCTTGATAATTCTTCACTCGAAATCAAAAGATGAACCAGGATCACTTGGAACATACCTGTACCGATTTTCATCATCATTAAACACTTCGTGTTCGAAAAATCAAATTAATATATTTTTTGAGTTGATGAAAAAATATTGCCTACTTTTTCTTTTTAATTGTTTTCTCATACACATCGTATTTTTGAATGATGTAAATTGGTACAGATATGTTCAAAGTGATCCTCTATAATAATGTGTCATCAATTCTTCTCAAATACCACAATACTACATTTTCTGATCACCTATTAAAAACAACAATTCGTTTTTTCGGACACCCTGTGTAATATGATGATTAAAAACAGTAAAGGTGTTTTTCAAGTGATCGTGATTCAGAATCCATCATTGTTTTTTGTGAAAAAAAATCCCTAATAGTACTTTCTCAAATATGGGTCAATAAAGTTGGTCGCAGTTGGCCACGATTACAGTTCATGAGTAAAATCACTCTCTTGTTGGATGGACATTTCAAATACTTATCGAATAAAAAAAAGTTTGTTGAAATCGGTCAGATAATAACAATTTTACAGGGGTGGTAAGTCCTTAAGGTGGACACACTGTATATAGCAGCAGCATCCCAGCTCATCCGATCTGACCATTCACTCCAAATAGTTATGTAAGCAAGTAGCAATATAGTTGGCTAGCAATGCAAGTAATAAGCAGTCCAAGCAATAGTCTAAGCAATAGTCCCAGGGAAATAAAGTGTATCATGCAGTTCTCCCTATGTCATGCATATCACCAGGCCGGTAATTCAAACCGTTACGGTAGCACTAATATATCATGTAACGATTGGTGATGACGTAACATGCACCATAAACACCAGTAGAGAAATGAACCCTATAAAAAAATAAGGACGCCATGAAATAATGATTCAACTCACCAGGGAGTAGTACTTTGTACCTCATGCGATTTTCGGAGTATATAGTAGGCAGTAAAGTTTGAGGTTCAGTCTCAGAACCACATGCCGGTAGCCCAACGAATCCTTACACAGAAGATCAATTAGCTGATTTCTCTTATCACACACGTGAAAAACGGAAACAAAAGCTATATAGCACATTAAAATGAGGCCAACTTATTCAAATTATACAATTGTACAAGGGCACTTATCAATGACTGACCGACATCTTTTCTTTTCTTCAACGTCAAGCACCCTTCTCCCTTTCCACAAAATTTCAAATTTCTCCTGAGGTCATCCGAGATGGATAGTCCATCTCTTTCTTCGTCTTGAGTATTCAAATTTCTATTTTGAAAAACATATAGGCATAGAATGTGAACTCCAAATGACAGTTGAATACCCGAACTTTCCCGGAATTCTTCGACCAAGTCTGCTCCCACCCAGTGTATCTCTGAAGTGCGGTGTCTGTGAATAAATATAGATGAAGAACACCTACTGA